AAAGTGCAGGTCAGATTGGAGTAGCAAGATCTTGGGTGAAGGTGAGAAGCAACAAGCTGGTCACATTTTAAACTTGCGTCCATCTAATTATCTCAGCAAACAGAAGAAAAAATAAAAGGGCAATTATCACATTTGCTCAAAAAGATTCTCACCCATCCATTTAAAATTAAAGCAAAAATACAAAATCTCCCTAGACACTCTATAAAAAAAAAAAAAAAAAAGATTGAGATTTAGAAATGTTCCTTAATTGTAGTTCTATTAGGAAGTTTCAGAAGAGCCACAAGCCAAGATTAGGTACATATTTTGTCAATAAAGAAAATGTAAAAAATGACAAGTGCTGGTGAGGATGTGGAGATTCAAATTTACTTTGGGAGAAAACATTGATTTTACCCTGGCCTAGAATCCCATTTAAAAATATAGTGCGCAGCCGGGACCAGGTTAGCTCAGTGCCGGGACCGGTTTTGCTCAGTGGATAGAGGGTCGGCTTGGGGACTGAAAGGTCCCAGGTTCGATTCCGGTCAAGGGCATGTATCTTGGTTGCGGGCACATTCCCAGTGGGGGGTGTGCAAGAGGCAGCTGATCGATAATTCTCTCTCATCGATGTTTCTAACTCTCTGTCCCCCTCAATTCCTCTCTGTGTAAAATCAATAAAATATATTAAAAATAAATAAAAATAAAAATATAGTGCAGTTGGTGGGAATGCAGACTGGTGTAACCACTGTGCAAAGCAGCATAAATTACCTCAAAAACTTAAAAACTGCCTTATGATCCAGCAATTCCACTTCTGAGAGTATACCCAGAGAAACCCAAACAACTAATTCAAAATACACAGCCATTGCAGCTTTACAATAACCAAGATTTGGAAGCAGCTCAAGTGCCCCTCAGTAGAAAGATGAATTAAAAAAAAAAAAAAAAAAAAAGAAAAAAAAAAGCTGTGGTACATTTACACAAAGGACTACTACTCTGCCGGAAAAAAAGGGAAAACTTACTTTTTCTGACACCATGGATTGCCCTGGAGAGTACTATGCTTAGTGAAATATACCAGTCAGAGAAAGACAAGTACCATATAATTTCACTTATATGTGAATCTAATGAACAAAATAAAACAGAAACTGACAGCTGTCAGAGGGGGGATTTGGAGAGCTGGTTGAAAAAGATGAAGGGATTAAGAAAGAAAAAAAAAATTCCCACACAAAAGAATTACAAAAATGTAAAGAAATTTGTATGAAATTTTTCTATATAGGGTTAAATTTATTTAGTAGGCTGTATGGTGAAAAATTACCTAGCACTTTGATTCAAAAAAAAAATTATTTCGATAGAAATTGGGCACAAGTTCCACCACCAATGTAGCAGCAATTTAAAATTATAAAGTGCTATTACTTATCTTCCAACTACCATCAACCTTCCCCAATCACAACCATTGATAAGTAACTTTTATTCTTTTCATTTTCTATTGGATTTTTAGACAGGGAGAGGCAGGGGAAAGAGGGGGCTACTGAATGGGAGTTGAACCTGACACCTTGTGGTGTACAAGAGGTTATGCCAACAACTGAACCACACTGGCCAGGACAAAAACTGTTGTTTTTCTTAATGACCTCAAAATAGCTAATGTAATTTTCTTAAAATAATATCTTACACTTATTTAACTGTTTGTCGTTTTTCATTGCCATTATATTCACTCAGTCTCACAACCACCCAGCAAGGTACCCAGTTTTACAGATAAAGCACTGTAGACCAGATAAGGTATAAGTGAATAGCTCAAGGTCACCCAAGTACCTACTGTTAAGAATTCCTAAACCAGTAAGTCTTTAAAAGAGGGTAATAAAACCTTATGGTGATAACGTTAATCCAGTAATCTAAAAATTAGAATGGAATGGGAAATATTACTTAAAAATTGCTTTGGGAGAAAACATTGATTTTACCTTGGCCTGGCGGCCCATTTAAAAATATAACTATTTTAATTTAGCACCTTCTAGTGCTAAAAGTATTTTAAAACTTTTAGAAAGTACATGAAAAACTAAAATAAAAGTCTGTTTATGGACACAAACTAAATAGTAAATGTCAACTGAGCAGATTAGCCACTCAAACTCCTGAAAAATTGGGAAACAAATGGAAAAAATGATAATCTTACTTAGTTATTTAATTCTTATGGATACTAGCACGTTCATAGAAAGGCAGTTATGGGAAAAGCCCACAAACCCCAATCATGTCCATATGCTCTCTTAAGCATAAAATAATAATAAAAAAACTCTCTAAACAATCTCACAAAGATGATATAAAAGCCACATTAATTCAATATTCCTGGGGCTGCATATAGAGCAGGGAGTTTCAAAAAAAAAATTAGAAATTGTTTATTTCAAAATTCACGCTTAAAATTAACCTCCTTGCATGATGTAAATATTAAAATAAGACTCTAATTTTAATTAAAATATTGTCTCTAAATCTCTGATAATTTCACTCCTCAACCTTGTGTCCCTTCTCCAAGCCCCTATCCCCTGTGTACATGCGACACACAGGCCTCATATAGAGGCCTCCTGCCTTTTTCTCTAACAACTAGGACCTTTGTTCCAAGACTCGGTTTTTCACCCCAGTCAATAGCTCTTTCAACTTTCTATCCCGTATACTTTTGTTTTGTTTTTTAGAGAGCAGATTCTGAGCCTCAACTTAACAGGTCTTTAAAAAATGAAACGCGAAAAATATCTGAAAGAACCTGGAAAGGACTTGAAAGTTACAGGCACCACTAGCAGGCCTACAAAACAGAGTCAAGCCCGGGGATCGGGTGATCTGGCAACCCAGGCAGAATCAGGAACGCCAGCTAGGGAGGGAGACGATTCACGGCTTATTAAACGCCCCCTCCTCAAGCACACACGGATGTTTACACAGATACAGTCCCTCCTCCAATTAACTAACGAGACAATTAAACTGCACCCACCGCCAGGCACGCTGCTTAAGCCAACCCTCCGCCAGACACAAGGCCCTATCGCAAACAGATCGGTAAAGGTTTAGGAGCAGCCCCTTCCGTTCCCCTCACCACCCAGGGGTAACTGACTCCCTCCCGCCCCTCCGCAGTTTCGACGTCTACCTTATCTCCCTACCCCCCACCCCCCAATTGGCGTGTGTTTTTAAGTCGTCATTAGTTTCCCCAAGAAATTGAGGGTTGTTGTTTTTTTTCCCCTCATCCTGAGGAAGGGAGCGACCGGGAGGCCAGATTTGGGGGTTTTAACAACCTTCGTTATTTGAACTCCCCTCTCAACTTGTTTCTGGGCTAGAAACCCTCTCTCACTGTGGCGAAGGGCGGAGGAGAAAGAGATGAACCGAGTGGAAAAGCGTTATAATACGTTTTATGTAACCCATATATAAATAAATTAATCGCCTGATACGAGTAGTGACAATCGCTCCCTCTCCCCCGCCCCCCCCCCCAAAACCCTGGGCCCCATCCCCTCAACCCCCATACTGGTCTTTTTACGAGGATGCCCCACTCCTCTCAGCCAAGTTTCCGGGCCTCTTTTCATGCCCGTCCCCGTCTCCGTCTCCCACCCCCACTCCCCCCCCGCCCCCCGCACGCCCAGGCCTGCCTACGTCGTCCACCTCCCTCAGCTTCAACTTCCACGACCGAAATTACCAAGCGCAGACCCCGTCTCCGCCCCGCCCCCCGCGGCGGCCGCGAAGCCCTTACTGCGGCCTGAAGTCGCTCCGGCCTTCCCCTCCTCCGACCCTCGCCGGCCACAACTGTTGTCACTCGAGCTGCTCCCTAGTTTCCATTTCCGGGACGTCCCTGGCCCCGGAGCCTCCTCTCTCCCGGTTTCCGGGCCCCCATCCCATTTCCGGGGAACCCTCTCGGCCTCCACACCTCCCCCTCACCTGCACTTCCGGGCCCCCACTTTCTCTCTTCCTAGACGCCCTCCCAAGCTCCAGAGGCCACTTCCGGCGCCCCGGCCCCCCTCTCCGGGCTCCAACCACCGCACGCCTCACCCCGGTTCCGTCAAGGGCCCTCCTCATTGCGGGGTACTGGAGGGGGGAACCTAGCCACTCCCCCCCTCCCCCCTGCTCCCGTCCGGTCAGGTTCCTCCGGCCGCGGTCTCCCTCGAGCGTCTCGCCAGTCAAGCCTGCCCCCCCCTCCCCCCCGCCCGCCAGCCTGGTCCTTCCGCGGCCCAGCCCCCGCCGCCGCCGCCGGGAGCAGGCCGAGCGGGGGCCGATTCCCGACGATGACACAACCGGGCTTCCTGGTGGGACTTTCTGTTCCAGCTCCTCCCCACCGTCACCTCCCCCAACCCCTCAGAACATCCCCCTGCCCTTCTCCCCGTCCCCAGGCCAGACCCCACCGCTCGCAACTGCGCCCCCCGTTACCTAGTTGGGCCCCAAAGTCTCCGGTCCGGACTCGGTGGCGCGGCAGTAACTTCCACTCGCTCCCCCACCCCCCAGACAGCGGCGGCGGCGGCGGCTCCTCAGTCCCTTCAATTATCAGCTGAGCCGCAGCACCGCGGCGGCGTGCGCCTCCGCCTGCGCCGCCTCCCTCCCCGCCCGTTCCAACCCCCGCGGGGGACTACTTTGTCCTCCGCCCGCGCTGACGGGCTAGTCCTCCGCGGGGCCGGCCCCGCTGCCTACTCGCGGCCCATCACATCGCCCCTCCCTACCCTAACGCCCGGATCAACTTCCCAGCGGGCCCGCGACCTCCTCCCGATCCCTTCGAGGGACCAGGAAGGGAAATGTGAAGCTCCACTCGATATCCCTCCGCCGGGGTCACCCCCGCCCCTCGGTGGTAGCAGGAACTAATTCCCTCTCGGGTCACCGGAGACCCGAGGTGGAAAGTCCACCGGTCAGAGTGCCTTGAAGACCCTTGGGGGAAAAAAAAAAAAAAAAAAGGAACATCACCTCAAGTTACAAGCGCCCCCCCCTGCCAGCTCAGAAGATTTCGATTGAAAGTAGGGCTTTTGGCCTCATGACCCCAACCAAACCCCGCCTCTTCCTGGTTGTCCTAGCGACGACGGTAGCGTCCCAAGATGGCGTCGTGGCTGCCGGAGACCCTGTTCGAAATTTTAGGACAAGGCCCAGCGCCGAGCAAAGACTACTACCAGTTGTTGATCACCCGATCCCAGGCAAGTGCGAACCGCGGTTTAACCCTCTCGAGGAAGCTACCTGCCCGCCCCGGCGGAGCCCGGAACGCCGGCCGCGCTGGGCCGAGGGTGGCTGCGGCCCGCCGGAAGCGCCGGGTCCCAGCTCCCGGTCGGCAGATTTCCCTCGTCACCTCGGCCTTCTCCGTCGGCCCGGCGGGCCTGCCTTGTTCCTTCCCAATCCCAGCCCAGCCCGTCCCAGGCGAGCTTTCTTCGCCTCCCCACAGCGCCGCCCTCTCCCTGCCTGCGGCCGAGGGTTCCTACCCGTAGAGTTCTCCCCGCGCGAAGAGACAAACAGGCGTCCCGGGCTTGCGTGCCGCCTCACCTCGGCGTGGGAAGGAGGGAAAGAAAGACTCACCCGAGTGTCCCCTGGAGGAGCCGGCGGGGGGGGGGGGGGGAAGGGGAACGATCTCTCCCTGGACAGAACTTAATCCTGCGGGATTTTTTTTTTTTTTTAAATCTCCCTGTGGTCTTTACGTGTACCAAGGTCACATCATCACTTCCTTATTTCGAGTAGGAACTGATCCTTAAGAGCGCTGCCCTTACCTTTGGGGAGCCTTACTGTTCCATTGAAAGTGCAGGGGGTGGTACGGGAAGGTCTCAGCTGCTCCGCGCGTCAGCCCCACCCATAATGACATCTGCTCCACAACAATAAGACCCAGGATTATATTATCGCTGGAGGAAAGTAACCCTCGGCCTATTTTTATGTCTGCTTGAGCTCCTGAAGGTGGCTTTTGGGTGATTTATGATGCCCATGAGATGAAGGGCTTGAACGGGGCCTCCTCCACTCAACACGTTTCCGATTCCTGGCTGAGCTGACGCCTGCCCCTGAGATAGAGATGCATCATGCACCTTGCACTGTAATAGATAATATTCTTATGAAATGGAATTTAGAACTTTGTATTTGTTTTGCTGTAGATAATGAATATTTCGTCAGTTTTTCCATGAGCCCTTAAATAAATTAGGCAGAGAATGGGTTGTTCTTTTAATAGCTTTGAAAGTACCTTTTAAAATATTAGCAATACATATCTTGCTTTTTTAATCTAAAATTTATAATTATTTCAGGTATAATATTAATATCCCCACGTGATGATAGCCTGCCAACGTTAAAATTTTTAGTTAAACCTTTTTTAGGAATTTTTAAACATTTCATTGGAATTTCTTAATATTTGAAATTTACTTTTTTGTGCAATTTTTAGGAATGACTATTTTCCATTCGCTTTAAGATATATGATCCTAACAATTCTTATCTTTCTAACATGAGTGATTGGAACCAATAATATCTTCTTAACCTATTTCTACTTCATTTTTTATTTTAATCTGCCTAATCTGTTCTAATTTTTATTTTATTGTCTTTCTTAAAAAATTTTATATGTCTTCTTAAAAAAATTTTTTTTTTTAGTAACTCTTTTTCACAATGATCTGGTATTACAAGTGTACTACACTCTAACATTGTAAGCCTCAGCAAGTTGAATACTTGTCTACTGTTTTTGTTTTAGGAAATGAACCATCCCTAAGAATGCTTCTGTTGTTGATGTTCTTCAGACTTTGCTCTCTCCTCTAATTTGGGCACATTTCTTCCTTTACTCTGTTTTTATGAAATCTGTGCCTCCCCACCTCAGTATTCTTAAATTTTTTTCTTTCTCTCTTTTTTTTTACAGATCAAAGACTCTCCTTTATTTTAGGCCCTATTCTTTCTGTGAGTGCTTATATATATAAAATTCTTTCCAGGGATGATCCATTTCCTTTTTTAAGCAAATTGAATATATTGAATATATTCACCACAGTTCTGCCAGTGAGAGTTAACCTTAAATCTGATTAATTCACTGTCTTTATAAAGTAAAATTTGTTGTAAAAAATAGTAAGCCAAAAAGAGGTTTTTTTAGTCAACTGTCTTGAGAATATGCTATTTTCTAACCGCAAAGTAATTTTTTTAAATCTCGACACAGGAAACCAAACATCCACTAAGAGGTAGTCTGACATAAATAAATACTAAAAGACTAGAATTAAAATGTGTTTTATAAGAAGGACTATTTTCTGGAGTACATTTCTAAAACTTATTCTTGTACATTTTTTAATTCACTTTCTTTCTGCCTTTATTCCCCCAAATGTTGTGTTTTGTCCAAAATATGCACTAGGTTTAGATAGATACTTCTTTCACTTAGATTCCCTTTTTCATCCATCTTTTACTGCTTTTATTTTTATTGGCTTTAAATCCAAATAATTGCACATATGTCATGGATTTGAAGGCATACCACCATTGGCAAAGTGTAGAATATAAAATGTACAAAAATATTTTCTTTGCCTTCTTGCCTACACAGTAACATTTAAAAATTTTTTAAGGCTTACAGAGGCATTCCCAGTTAACAACTTGATGCCATGTTTTTGTTTGGGGGTATATATATATATACATATATATATATATATATATTTTTTTTTTTTTTTTGATTTTTTTACAGAGAGGAAGGAAGAGGGATAGAGAGTTAGAAACATCGATGTGAGAGGAACATCGATCAGCTGCCTCCTGCACACCCCCTACCGGAGATGTTCCCGCAGCAATGTACATGCCTTGGACCCGAATCGAACCTGGGACCTTTCAGTCCTCAGGCCAATGCTCTATCCATTGAGCCAAACCAGTTTTGGCAAGAAATTTTTAAGTTGTGTTCCTGGATGAAGAATCTTTCCTTAATTTTTATCAACAACTTGGCATTTACTGTGCGGGATGCAAAATATAAGAAGATTCCTGCCTTTCAAGAATTTATTCATTCAACACATATGTATTGAACACATTTTATATATAGGCTAGCTACTGTTCTAGATACTGAGAAACATCAGTGAACTAAACAAAGTACCTCCTCTAATGAAGGTTATAATACAGTGGGGATAATATAGTTTAGTCATTTGATTTATATAAACACTTAAACAGATTAACTTTTGTGTCTTTTTTTGAAGTCCAAAGGAAAATTGCCAAGTTCATGAATAGCACAGACATTTTAAAATTTGTGAGTCCAGAGGAAGCAAAAATCATTTTAGAGTGGGTGGTCCAGGAGGTTCCTATTATAAGTATTTTTGCTCTTGAAAGTCTGTCTTCTTGTGCTCTCAAAATGGAAGTGTAATCAGAGTTAGTGGCTTAGGTTTTAATGTGACAAATACTGAAAAGTGCTAGAAATAACCTAAGTAAATGAGAATTGTTAGATGTGGCCTCCTGCAGCTAGTAACACAGGTAGTTGTCCCAAGAGCAACATCATGTTCTCTGCAGCATCTAAAAGAAGAAAGAATTGGGTAGTAGATTAGTCTTATTTTATCTAACTTTCTAAAGCCTACTCAAAACTTTAAAAACATACCTGAAGCTAATGTCATCTGAAAGAAAATCCAAAAGCTCACTCCCCCAAAATATTTTTGGCATGCAACTGAGGTTGAATGTGAGCCTGTGTCAACAAACTGTTATCTCAGTGACTCCTGAAAAGGGAATTAAAGAAAACTAGACTTGGTGACTGTAGTTTGAGAGACTTTGCAACAAAGTCATTTGCCATTTCAAGCCACTGACCAATTTTAAAGATTTAAAATTTAAGAACAATCTAAGGAAAATGTTAATACCTGGACATGTTGACCCAGCAAATCCATATCTAGGATTTTATATCCAAAAATACTTTCATATGTGTACAAGGATATGCTAGCCAAGAATGTTCACCAAAGTAAAATAATTGTAAAACATCTTTTCTACAGAAAAATATGCAACCTTTTAAAGTGATGTGATGGATCTCTGAATATTCAGTCAAACAAGTAAAATTGTAACCAAGAAAAGCAAGTTGCTGGATTAAACATCATATGATCCTGTTTAAAAAACAACTACAGTTTTGTTTAAAATAAATGTTGGAGGGAAAAGCTGGAGTGATTCACTCTTAGGGATTGCTTTCACTTTCTTCATTGCATATTTCTGAAAGATCTGAATTTTTCCACAATGAGCATTTATTTTTATAATCAGAGAAAAGCAATAAAAATTGCTTTTTTATTGAGTTAACTTGGTTAACTTTTACTCAGACAAGTTGCCCTACTCTGTGCAAAAGTTTCACCAGCACCACCTCCCACATTAAATGATGGGTAGCATTAATAATTTGTCACCAGAGATCCTGCTGTGGTTTTGTTTTTGGGGGGGAGGGAAGTTGGGGATGTAAATAATTCTAATTCTACAAATTTAGAGGGGGTGCAAAATGAGTTAATGGTTACTTGGGAAATTTTAAGGAGATGTTAGTGTCTAGAAACTTCTGACCTTTCATTTTTGCTTTTGTTTTCATTTTTAATGTAGGTAATAATTATTTTTGAGAAACTAAAGGATTGCCCTCTCTTGCCTTGTTGGTTGTAAGATAATATTAATGAGCTACAAAAAGATGTGGTGTGTAAAACAGGGCAAAAGTGGTATACTGAATAGATTTATTTGCCCTCCAATAAAGCTTAGAGAACAGAATGTCTCAAGTAAATTGAAATCATATTAAGTAGACACCAGACTGCAGATTTTGAGAGCTGGGTGGGATGCAGTCAATTTGTTATTGTGATGGTGTTTTCCCAGGGAACCCAGGAACCCCTAAATTACGCTCTGTTGTGGGCCTGTCCCCCACATAAGGTCCTCAGAGTCAAATACATGGAGTAAATAAAGCTTACTCTTTCCTTGTACCTAATGGAACCCTCCCTCTGATGGAAATGAATGTTTCTGCAGACTTAAGAGCTACCTCAGACTTCAAAGCTACCTCACCCTTTCTGCCCAATGGCCACCAGCCACAGCACACCTGCTTCTTTTAAAGCCCCAAGTCACCAGAATACTATACTTGCTTTCATGTATTTTACCCTTCCATTTTTTATGGCTTGACTTGCCTACTCTTTTTCAGCTTTCTCCCCCAACCCCTTGTTTTTCCCTCTATCGTTAAAAGATAGGGTTTCCCCTTCTTCACTGCTTTTTAGAACTTTCAGCCCCACCCTGCTCAAGGAAG